TAGTCAGTGTTTTCAGCAAAGTTGAGCTGACTGTCCAGGAATGACACAAGGAATTTAAAATTTGCCAGTTTCAACAGGTTGGCCATCAAGAGAAACTGGAATCACTTTCAGGTTTTGTTTATGTCATTTAATTAGCTCTACTTCCTTAAGAAAATGGAAAGGTATGTTCTTTTGTGAGGAAATTTATCTTTTACTGTTCCAGTAATGCCAGAATTAATAATAAATAATAAAGACTTTGTGGTATTCTGATTTAGTAATGTAATTAGATTAGTTGTGTTACCACCCCCACGCCACTAGAGGCAGCGATGGACCCCGAAAAGATGCGACTAAGGAGCAGATTTAGAAGTACACCGAAAACTACAGAATTTGCTAAAAACTGTGAGCTGCGCTTACGTAAATAAAAGATTGAAGTTATGATACATGCTGAGAGTGAAAATCCTTCCTAAAGGTGAAAATAATCACAGATTTCAAAAGAAAATAAAAACGGAAGTATAGGAAATAGCGCCCCCTTTACTTCCGGATTACAATGGTCCCATTTCCAAATAAGGCATGAGACTGACAGCGGTCCGTCCCGCCCCTTCCTGTTTGCTGCAGAGGTCCTTCTCCCTGGTGGTGCGGAGCAGCGAGGAGGAACCGCTTCTGATGGGGAAACATGAATCCACGTAACACTGGCTCTCCCAGATCACTTGACTGCTGAGTGGTGCTGAGAAACCTGCTTAAAATAACATTTCAAATCCGTTTTTGAAAATATAAGATTTATTCTCTGAAATAAAACCCTTATTTCAGTTGAAGTTCCCTTAGCTATTAACCACAAATATAAAAGGTTTTATTTTGAATTCCTGCTCGTAATTTGTGTTTTCTATTGAGGGTCAACAAACTTTCTGGCTAAATATTAAAATATGTTTAAACCTAAAACTCCCTGGGTGCAAATAATTCTGGTCTTAACTCAGTTAGGTGACGTAAATAATTATTGTTTTGTGATGTGAAACATGGAGCTTGAATTCAAGATCAGACCTTTAATACCAAATATGCATAAACATTTCTGCTACTGCAGCACATTGGGTTTTACTGTCTGAGAAAACAAGACAGAAGAACTGCATGACTCGGCACATCAACAGTGATCCAAACTAAACTCAAGCATTTACAGTCCAGGCTGTCATGAAGCTGCCGTTCGACTGAAAAATATACAAATATATCATAACCAAGGACTGATGAGCCACAGAGTCGCCAGAGATCCACCTGCAGCAGCTTTTAAAGTGATTCCTGTTCATTAGAGGCTCCATAGCCATCATGTCACCACGCTCACCCTCAAAACACACAACAAATTCAGATTTTTAAAAAAAGAACTTTAACTTTTCTGTTAAGAATTCTGCAGGGTTTTTAAGCATTTTGATCTTTTTCCTCAGAATTCTGACTTAAGAATATGAACTTTTTTTCAGTAATTTTTTAAAAAGAATTTCTACCTTTTTGGTAAATTTCTGCTTTTTTCACTTTTTAAAATGAGAATTCATTTTTGCCCTTTTTTTTTTTTAGAATTCATCCTTCTTTCCAAAAAGTCAGAATCCAACATTTTTCCTGAACACCCATATTTTTTTTCTGAGAATTCCAACTTTCTCAAACTTCAGACTTTTTCCTCACAGTTCCCACTATTATTTTCAAAACTCAGTCTTTTTAGTAAATGTTAGAATCTCCAACTTTACACAGAGGTTAACATGTGTAGTTTTTTTAGTGGTTCTAATGGTCTTCCGTTCAGCTGGGAGGGTGGAGGAACATACAGTCTTCCTCAGAGACGCTGAAGAACAGGAAGTAGAGTTTAAAAGCAGGAAAGTTGCAGTCTGATGCCTCCAGGCCTTTAGGGGGCAGAACCAACCAGCAGCTCAGAACCAGCCAGTACTTCAGATCCAGCTCAGAACCCGATCATGCCTCCAGCTTCTGGTGCTGAGTTCTCAGGTGTTTGTTCAAGCTGCTCTTCTGCCTGAAGTGTTTCCCGCAGGTGGCACAGGGGAAGGGCTTCTCTCCAGTGTGAATCCTCATGTGGTCGGTGACATGGATCTGCTGGGTGAAAACTTTCCCACAGATGAGACAGGCAAACGGTTTCATGCCACTGTGAGTCTTCTTGTGATTGGCCAGGTAGCTGGTGTTGCTGAAGGCTTTCCCACACTGATCGCAGACGAACGGTTTCTCACTGGTGTGGATCCTCTTGTGTTTGGTCAAGTAGCTGTTCTTGGCAAAACATTTCCCACAAATGGGACAGGGATACAGATTCCCATCTGCGTTCTGTGGCAGAAGGTCCAGTCTTTTCTTTGGCTTCAGCGCCTCCTGGTTCCGGTTCTGGGTCTCTGGGCGGTTCTGATAGAGAAGCTGGTAGCTGCTTGGTTCAGGTTCGTCATCGTAGTCCACAGTCACCATGATGGCCTCAGCCTCCTGCTTCAGCACCAGCGCTCCGTCCTGCCTGGAGCAGATGTCGTCAGGCGCCAGTTCTGGTGCGTTCCGGTCCGGACTGGAACTGCTGTCCCGATCGGTGGGAAGCGCCTCGCTGGAGAAATGATGCTGGAGTTCTGGAGGAGACCAGAGGAACGCCGACATTAATGATGTCACACAACAACGGCTCAAACCACTCTCATAAACCCACTACTACATTGAAATGCAAATGACCTTTTGAGTCTGTTTACTCCAGTTAGTGATTAATTAATTACTAAATTAGTAATTCAATAATCGATTCATCTTTCAGCCTCAGTTGATATAGGTATAATCTGATGCTACAAGCTTAATATTTTCTGTGTTAGTTCATAAATACATCCCAGTCAATAGTAACCAATTATTATTTGAGTAGCTTTACCACAACTTAGCTTTACTACAGTGAAGTCATTCTGTTCTTCCTGCAGTACAACTTCTGGGTACTCTTCCCACTGCTGCTTTAAATACAGGCTTAAAACCCACCTGCATAGAGCTTTGATTAATAACTGAAAAATAAATTAACTTTAGTCTGGATTAAAACATATCATTGGTTCCCTTTATTCTGCCAACTTAATGTAAAGTGTTTGGCGTTTTATTTTAATTTTCATCATGTAAACCCCTTTGCCTTGTTAGTGAAAATGTGCTATATTAATAAACTGGCTTACTTGGATGTGTGTAAATTAATCTGGTTGTGGTAAACAGTGGTGTTCCAGTAAACACCAGTAATTTAAGCATAATTTTCATCTGTGGCAACAGAAATCTACTCCTCAGATATGATTCAGAACATTTTGCAAACAGTTTTCGTCACACTGGCAGTATTTTTGATCAGGCATCAACACAGCCACCTGGCCTTGAAAAACAGGCGCGTGGATTTCATCAGTTGATCTGGGCACCAGTTGATCCAACACACCGGAAGTCACCAGCAGCCGCAGATATAAACTATTTTTTCAGTTTATAACGAGTCTTTAAGGCATTAAAGCAGAGAGACTCGGTGAACTGAACCGGTTCTATTGGTGAACATGATTCTTCACTATCAGACTTACACAATAAGCGGATATGCGTCACTCTTACTGCTGACAGCAGTTAGCATCACAATAACACGGGAATCTCGCTGATTTCTGAACGTCAGGTGACGTCTGGCGTCCCGGCTGCCCTCAGGTCGGATCCAGCCGGACCTACCTGCGGGGTTCTGCTCGGTTCGGGGTCTCCAGGTGAGGTCCAGCAGTCTCCGCTGCCGGTCGATCTCCTCCTCGTACTGGACGATGGTTTTTTCCAGCTGGGTGAAGATTTCTTCAGCAGCAGCAGTTAGTCTCTCTCTGATAAACTCTCTCAGAGGCTCAACGGAACACATTGTTGCTGAATAGAACCAGAAAACACCTGGACAAGCTCTGGAACACACACCAGAAGCTAACTCAGCTAACCGCTACACCGGAAGTTACGACACAATTCACTTTAAGCAGCTGTGTGCATTTCCGCCCCTTGCTGGAGAGAAGTGGAGTCCGAACACGACTGAATGCTAATTAAAGACATTTTAAATGTATTTCTGCCTTCTGAAACAGAGAAATAACCTTGTTTGGATTTTTTGTGTTATCATTTTTACATTTATATATTATACATTTATTATTACTTTAGATCATTAATCAGTCTTATATTAATCAGTATGATGTGATTTTCTTGTCTGTTAAAACTTTTTGACTGCTGTGTTTAATACTTTTGGCACCAAGTATCTGTGCTCCAAGAACTGATTGTTACGGAGCCTCCAGGGGACGTGGGGATTTTTTTCCTTATGCGTTCCCTCGCAATACTTTAATAAACGTTTTCACTGAGGCTCTGTAAGAGGCATATGAATGAAATAAGTAATTATTGATATAACAGGAGCAGCGGCTTTGACACCTGGTGGTGGGCGTGTCGATGTGGGTGTGACGTCACCAGGTATGAATGGGAAGGTGACTCTGCTGGCTCTGTGTGTGTGAGGCAGCGGGTGAGCTGGGGGGTCAGTCCTCGCAAAGTTTGGAGCATGATAATAAAAATGAAATAAATCGATAATTGTGACAGAACAAAGAGGTTTGGACTTGATTGATACACGGACAGATGAGATTCCCCGAGTTAATCCAGTGCGGCCCTCTACCACCATTAGTTTGCTGTGTTTTATAATAATAAAACGTGTTTATTATATTAACTCTTTGGTTCAAAAAACTGATTGAAAATCGATTTATTTACTGCATGTTTATGTCTGTTCAGGCTCAGATGGAACAGAAAGCAGCACTTTAAACCATTCAAACACGAACACAATGGAGACACAATCAGATGACTGATTATCCCGCGATAATAACTCAATAGTCCATGGAAAAACCTTATAAGCTTGTATTAAAGCAGAAAGTACGGCGGCCACCGTAAAAAAGGCTTACAGTATCAATTATGCTGCATGAACTGATCAGTAGATTATTGCAGGGAACGCAAAAGAAAAGAAAATCCCCATGTCCCCTGGAGGGCTCCGTAGATTGTTGGGAGAAATCGCTCCCAAGGGAAAGGACCAGATGACCTGTGTGTAGATGGAGCTGTTTATCTTTTACCTTCTTCCTTTTCCTAAATAAAAGGCCGACTGGCTGATGGAGGGCAGATCCATCAGAGAGAGGCTGGAGGAGCAGGTTCTTTATGTAGGTTCAGAAAAATACCTATCAAACCTTTAATGCTTTACATATGTTGTTGGTATGTTTAGAAATTATATTTTAAAAATCTAATTCTAATATTTTTCTCTTAAAATTCAATTAAAAAATAATTCATTCATTCTAAAGAGAAATTAAATGTTGTAACTCATGTCATCCAAGGATCTTCAAAGAAACTTGGTGGATGGTGATTCTGTGGGCAGGAAGGACCTGCAGTAGCAGTCCATCTTGCAGTGAATATGAAGAGGCCTCTGACTGAAGACTGTCGCTGTGTGACAGTCACATGGCCGTTTCATGGCAGCATGTCCTGGATGACCATCAGCTGTTCGCTAAGCGAATCCTCATCTACAATTCACCAAATAAATCTCTGACAGATTCTCTTATTATTTAGTAAATACATAATTCTGGTGATTCTGACCTGAAACAACAGAAGTTTGGTCGGATTTAACTAAAGACGGAGAAAAAAATGGTGAAATGTTTTTGTTTGCTGTATGTAAACTTCTGGTTTCAACTGTTTGCATTAGAAGCTCCACATTTATTCATGGACATAAAACCCAGGAGGAGTAATGGTTCTTTTTCTTTATTTACAGTATTAATATTTTCAATTTCATCTCCTAATGTTTAAAGGGAAAAGCAGGTGTAGATGAAATGATTAGATAAAACTTAGATAAGATTTATTTATTTATTAAATTGTACAAAGGAGTTTCAAATTAAGAAAAAAATAAACTTTTGTCTAACTTTAAATACTGGTTTATTATGAACACTGCTGTATTTTCCAATACACTATTTATTTATTTATCATGTTCTTTTCTTTCTCCTCTAGTCTTTGGACCGGCCTACACTGAGTATATTCTACACATACTTCAGTTCATCCTTTTCACTTTGTCAGGATATTTAAACAAACTGAAAACAAAAATTCTGTGTCCAGGGTTCAGAATCCTGGCTGGAGCTTTCCTCATTCCTTACCTTCCAGGTTAAAGCCGGCCGCCTCCCGGTGGAGGCTGGTGTTCAGAGCACTGAGTGTTTAACTGAGGTGAGAAAAGTACAAAATACATAAAATAAATCAAACGGGTTAAAAACGGTGAAATAAGGAGAGATTCAGAGACGAGGCAGGAAATATCCTCCAAGAGGCAAATTTATTCATACAGCAGCATCCAGAAACACAAAGAAAAACCAAAAACCTGGAAAACCCCGGAAAACCTGGTAAAACTCAAGCATTAAACATGAGACACCAGTAATGGACGGTGTTGTGTGACGCCAGTAGCTCCTCTCTAATCACACCGCAACACAAAAAATAAATCAGAGTTTCTGTTTCCTGTTGAGACAGGAAGTCCTTAAACTCTGGTGATGTTGATAAATGAGAGTAAAGTGGGACAGGAGGTCAAATCAGGACGTCCTCACATGAGTCCAGACTTTAAGACGTCAAGTTTAAAACCAAACACTGGAAGGAAAGGAGAGGGCATTTAAAGCCTAAAAATATTATTATTATTATTATTATTATTATTATTATTATTATTATTATTATTATTATTCATTTTAAATCATGTGTGACATCACAATGAAATAAAGTATCCTGAAAAAAATGTATCCTCCGAGAATAAAACGGGTCAATGAACTACTCATAATGTTTTTTTGTATTGATATGTCCGCAAGGATGTCTTGTATGTATTTATTTTATTTGTAAAAGTCCACGGAGTAAAAAATATCTGGGTCACAACCGGAACTGATAAAAGGAACAAGGGAACGGGGTTGGGAACAGAAGGGTGGCAGCTCCAGGGATGAGCCTGGAGATTCCTGATTACTGGAGGAAAAGCGGATCAACTACTGAAGGAATCCAAAGTTTTCTGGAGGAAGATAAAAGCCGCCCGGGGCGAGATCCGGACCCGATGCGCTCCGGCTCCAGGCCTGCCGAAGGGAACTGCCCGGGTACACAGACGCCGTCCCGGTGGGACTCTTCCAGGTTTTTTTATTGTTTTTTTTTTTCGTGAACGAAGATTGATGACATTTTTGGGCCCCAACGTTGTTTTTTTTGAGCGAACAAACCTTATTTTTGATCGCCTAATTATGGACTATTATTATTGATGAAATATCTCTTTTTGGTTGATGGGGTACAGATTTGATGTGCAGTTGTTTAATTGTAAAAAAGTAAAGAATGACTGATATTATGCCATGATTCCATGGAAACAGATGATCGGTTATTAAATGTAGCGGGAAACTCGTAGCCGCATCAGTAAGCTGACCTGTCCTATCTGTCTTTCTATTACAATCAAATCGTTTGTCTGGCGTTGATTATGGACAGCTGCAATCATACTTATTTCTAAAATTGTATAAAAAAACAAGTCAAAGAACTCGCTTGAGCGTGTTCATTTCCCGTTGATACGAGGATTTGTTATGTTCCAGACTTAAACAATATTAAAGTTTCTCACACACCAACACAGACTCTCTCAAAGAGGAAAGGTTTGGTTCACGATAATAAACTATCCAATCTGACACCAAGAAAAGTAATCTAACACTTTTAATAGTAATAATTTTAGCAGAGCAAAACATGCAAATAATTATAACATTTTCATTTTTCATAATTAGGGTAAAACTTAGAAGTCTGGGAGAACTGAGTCCTACTAATAAAAATATCTGATTAAAAAATCTCACGTAGCAAACAAGAAAACAGAGAGTATGAAAGTTAATATGAAAGTGTTTACCTTTGATTCAGTTATGCAATTATTTTATTTTATAATAGCATATATTTTCTTTTTCTTATTACATTTCTCTGTCAATTTATTGTTGATATAAATACATTTTTACCACTGAGGGATGAATAAAGAATCAGACTAAAATAAATTAATTTTCAAAACAAACATGGATCATGAGCATTTAAAACATATTTTAGTGTAAACAGGGACCTGGTCCATCCAGATACAACCAGCAATTTTCTTTAGTGATGAAGTAAACAGACTCTCCAGGATCTTATGATTTTTGTGGCGGTACTTTAGAAATATTTGTGAGGAAATTTGCGATATTTGTAGGAATGATTGACAGTAAATGTGACTGACTCACCTTATCGACCATCAGGTAAACCCAAATAAAGGCGCTTTAATGACTTTTTTTCTGGATGTTGTTTCCCTGTTAGGAAAGCTTAAAACTTCCAGCAGCTTATTGGGGAGGAGATAAATGTAAACAGCTGCTTTGGTGTCAGTTTTGACATACAACTGATACAAATATATCAAAGAAATTAATATTTTGACAACTCCAGCAGGAGGAATGGTTCACTGTAATGGGTTCCTCCTTTTCCTTACTAAATGATATTAGCAACATCTATTACCACAATAACTTCAATCATATTGTGAAGGAAAAGTTCATCCCAGTCACCATCTATCTAAAAGTAGTTACACTGCATGTTTGCTTATTTGCAAATGTGCCGAGTCTGAGAAAGAAACCAGACGGACGTTTAACGTTTCTTGCCTGTGTGAGTTCTCATGTGAACATTCAACAGATCTTTTCTGCTGAATTTTTTTGGACAGGTTTGACATGAGAATGGTTTCTCACCGGTGTGAGACCTCATATGATACGTCAGATGACTTTGCTGGTTAAAGGCTTTTCCACAGGTTTGACATGAAATATGCTTTTCACCTGTGTGAATTCTCATGTGACGAGTCAAACCGTTTTGCATGTTGAAAGCTTTTCCACATGTCTGACATGAGTAAGGCTTTTCACCTGTGTGAGAAGTCATGTGAAAATTCAAAGAATTCTGGTGGGTAAAAGTTTTTCCACACATCTGGCATGAGAAAGGTTTCTCACCCGTGTGAATTCTCATGTGAACTGTCAACCGAGCTTTAACGCTAAATTTTTTTCCACACATCTGGCATGAATAAGGTTTCTCACCTGAGTGAATTCTCATGTGAAGAATCAATTGACTTTTCAAACTGAATTTTCTTTCACAGGTCTGGCATGAGAAAGGCTTCTCACCCGTGTGCAAGTTTATGTGGAGACTCAAGCTACTTTGCCGGTTAAAAGCTTTTCCACAAGTCTGACACAAAAAAGGCTTCTCACCAGTGTGAGTTCTTATGTGGTCTCTCAAAGTGCTCTGCCTCATATAAGCTTTCCCACATGTCTCACATGAAAAAGGCTTCTCACCTGTGTGAGTTTTCATGTGGTCCCTCAAAGCACATTGCAAGGTGAAAGTTTTTCCACAGGTCCCACAAGAGAAAGGCTCACCTGTGTGAGTTTTGATGTGGTATTTCCATTTACTTTCCACAGTGAAAGCTCTTCCACAGAACTCGCATGAGAAAGGCTTTTCTCCGGTGTGGGTTCTGACGTGGCCCAGCAGCTGACTATGCCACATGAAGGTTTTTCCACAGGTCTCACATGAGAAAACCTCACCAGTGTGAGTTCTTGTGTGCTGCTTCAATTTGCTTTTCTCGGTAAAAGCTTTCCCACAGGTCTGACATGAAAAAGGCTTCTCCCCCGTGTGACTTCTCATGTGTTCTTTCAGTTTACTTTGCCAGAGAAATGTTTTTCCACAAGTCTGACAAGAGACCAGCTTTTCGCCTGTGTGAGTTCTCATGTGGTATTTCAGTTTACATTTGTAGAGAAATGTCTTTCCACAGATCTGACATGCTAAATTACTCTGACCTTGGTGAGAACTCATTTGAAGAACTAAGTATGCTGGAGTCAAACCGTACATGGTGCAGACCTCACTGTCCACCTGCTTTAACTGCTGAGGTTCAGGTTCATCCTCTTCATTGTTGGTCTCTGGACTATCTGGTGTCTTCTGACCCAAACTGGAGTTCAAGTCATGGTTTTGTCCTGGAGGGATAAAAAGGCTTGTTATTGAGAATGTAATAACTCAAACTTTTTATTCAATTAAAATTTAAAATGCTTTGAATGCACAAAAGTAGAATCAAATAACATTGTCTCTTTGACCTCATTTTAAAAAGAACAATGTTCATCTTTACCATAAATATGACCAACAGACACAGTTTCACTGAACTCCAATCCAGAATCGCGCAGCATTCTGGGTGACGTAGGCAGAGGAAAGACTTTTATGGCACTGAATGACTACAGACCCATTGCTCCGACCTCTCACATTATGAAGGTTATGGAGAGGATGGTTGTGGTACATCTGTGGTCACAGGTGGATGCAGACCAAGACCCTCTCCAGTTTGCATACCAGCCCCACTTAGGAGTGGATGATACATCTGCTGCAGAGGGCCTTTTCCTCCCTTGACAGACCTGACACCACATCCTGTTCTTTGACTTTTCATCAGCCTCCAGCCAGGATTACTATGGGAGAAGATGGCTAAAATGGATGTAGATGCATCACTCATCAACTGGATCATTGATTGTCTGACAGCCAGACCTCAGTATGTGAGATTACAGACCATCTAATATGTAACATCGGAGCTCCCCAGGGAACTGTGCTGTCTCCCTTTCTATTCACCACCTACTGCAGACTTTAAGTGCCGTTCCAAACTGTGCCATCTGCAAAAGTACTCAGATGACAAGGCTATCGTGGGGTGTGTGGAAGGGGGCAGGAGGTGGATTCAGGACATTGGTGGATAATTTTGTGACTTGGTCCAGAGAGAACCAACTCCTTATTAATGTAAACAAGACCAAGGATATGGTTGTCAGTTTCTGCAACAAGAAAACACATTTGCTCCTAATCTCCATCTCAGGGCAGATGTGGAGCAGGTTCAGTCATACAAGTACCTTGGTGTTACATTAGACAGGAAGCCACAGTGGACTACAAACACTGATGTGCTCTACAAAAAGGCCATGAGCAGACTCTGCTTCCTAAGCTCAGGTCATTAACATCTGCAGTAGGATGCTCTTCCTGTTCTATCAGTCATCAGTGGCTGGTTCAATGCCGTGGTGTGCTGGATGCTGCTCAAACAGACTTAAACTGATAAGAAAGGCCGAGTCAGTTGGATCAAACTGGCTCCACTGGAAGATGTGATGAGAGACAGAATGAAGATCAGAGCTATCAAGGATAGCCTCTTCCATCCCCCTGCAGCCTGAGGAGCAGACAGATCACTGCATGAGCTAAAGGACGCTACGGCCAGTCCTTCCTGCCACCGGCGACCAGACTTTATAATGCAGACATGGTCTCTAGAGCTGCCTTTTAAATACTGAATATATGTTTAGTCCTAAGGATATGAGTGTCCTTAGGACTATCACTGGTCATTGTTATTTATTATTGTTGTATGTTTATTCTTATTACTTTATTTATTTTAATTTTTATTGTGTACTATGCTGTGACAAACAAAATTTCTCCCCCTTAGGGGATCAATATGGTTTTATTATCTTATCAAGTAACTCACTCACGCTTTGGTTACCTAGCAACAACCTGCAGCAGTTTCATGTCCTCCAGACACATCTGCACAAAGATCAACGCTGCATTTTGTACACGGCTCCCAGTTTCTTCTCCACATACCTGCTTTGATTCCAGTCCACATTAAATTTATATTATAACTTAATTAAAAGCTATCTGGCCAAGACCGGTCTCGACTTCCTTCAACACTGGCTGGGAGAATTGAGAATTACACTATAAAATGTCTGTTGTGTTTCAGGTCCTGCCTATTAATGACAGTCAATCATCCAGTTTCAGGGCTGTGATGGAGGAAACAAGGCAGCGGCCATTCTGAAGTTTAACAGCTTTCATGCTGTTTAACAGCTGGGAATAATTTGACGTTGTTTTCTTCGTAATGGATGTTATTTGTAGTCGCCGTGCTAAACGATGCCTCCAAACAAATGTTGACATCTCAGGAACCATAAAAGGTTTGGATTTCATTCACCTCCCGTCTTTATCAGAAGGAACAGGAACGTTTGTCATTTTTAGGGTTTAACATCAGTTTTTTTCTTTACATCGCATGGAATATATTACTGTAACCAGCATGCTAGTGGTAGCCTAGATGCTATCAGTAGTATTTTAGCTAGTTTTAGCTTTTTAGCTATTTTTGGCTTTTTCCTGGGTTTTTCACACTGTGGACTGTTTCTTACCTTTCTGCAAGTTTTCAGCAGGTGGCTTCAGACGTTTTCACCATTTTCACCAAAAGCATTCAGCATTCACACTTGCATTTTCATAGGAAATGCACTTTCTAGTCTGCTTGTTCTCCTAACAGAAAGTTTTTCCAGGGTTTTCTCCAAACACCCTGGCTCTGAATTCAGTCCCTACCCCAAAAGCCCTCCATCCTGGAGGTTTTCCTTTAAATGGGAGCAGAAGGTTTTTGAGTAAATCCAGCAGATGAGAGCCTTTCGTCACATTCCTGATAAACTGATTCCTCTCTGGATGTCCAGCCTCCGTTCCTCTTGGAAGGTTTTTTGCGATCTCTTTGAAGAAGAGTTTTATAACTTAATTTGCTGTTTCATCCACTTCAGCTTGATAGTTTCAGCTCCGAGTCGTCCTCATGCTTTCCAGCTGCATGACTAAAGGGGAATAACCGACTCTCCTCTAACTGGCATTGCTTAAGGATACATATCTTTGCAGCAAAGCATCATATTTTTTAATTTTCTCAAACAGTCAACCTGGTTCACTCCCTTTCGCTCCCATTCGAGGATCCAGCTCCTCCTCCTCTGCTGGGTTCAAACACTGAAACTGATGAGGTGAGAAACATCTGAGATGTTCTGAGACATTTTTAACCTGCTGATGATTCCACACCAGATTCCCAGTCGGGAGAATAAACGCTCCGCCTTCCTGTTGGAGAGCCGACTGTTTACATTTTAAACCAGTTTTTACCAGCCAATAGTCTGATGAGCTTTTGTTGCTTTTTCAATCTGTGGCGTTGAGAATGTTGATGTTACCTTTTATAATGTTCAAAGCATCTCACAAAGTTTGAAGGTTGGTTAAGCAATGCGGCAGAATATCTTTGTGTTTGAGTGGCAGCATCTTTCTCCTTGTTTCAGGTACGTTCACAACGACCACCGGCTAAAAATGACGTCATCCAAAACGAGGCGTCGATTCACTGGAAAAGGATTTTCAAAAGAATGAGGTATTCCTTCAACAAATTTTATATTTTTATTCATTTTCTACAATTCAGGATACATATGTTGAAAAAGAGTATAAATCCAAACAATGTCATCCGGTACAACATCCGTCACAATTCATGGTTACATTCTGTAAAACACAATGACAGTTTTCCCAGACCCACTTGGTCCCACCATCAGACATCAGACAGGTTTCTTCAATCTAAATCAAAGCGAATCTCCGGAATGAGACTTTTTTCTTTCACTTCTCTCTTAAACCCTAATAGCCAAAAGGTAGAGTTGATCCATCAGGAAAGAAAAGCTTAAGAAATGCTGCGTATTGTAACAGGAAGCCGTCTTCGTCCCGTTTGCTGGAGCGTTGCTCAGGAGCTCCAGCTCTGACGCCGTCAGATCACCTTTCTTTTGTTTTCTGGCTGGTTCAGCAGTTTCTTGGTTCTGCTGCCATACATTCCTGAGTTGTGCCTCCCAGCTCATCAGTTAAATCCCTGAGGTAATTCCCTGGTCTAGATTTCATTTAATGCATTTTCTTGACTATTAGGAGAAGCTGGAGGTTGATTCCCAAAGAGCCCGTTCTGTTGGTCTAAAATAATCTGAGCAGCATCAGAGATTTCTCATTTCATCTGAATCAACTCTACCCTCTTGGTCTCCCACACGTCAGAGTTAGCAAGGAGAGTCACTCGAATCCCTTGAAATGACCTTCAGGTCAGAGGAGACGCTGTGGAACAGAATCTGAGTCGCATGAAGCAGCAGAGTGGCCTTAGTTTGATGGCGGACGGCGTTTCTTCTGAGCACTGAACGTCTTCCTGGAGTTTTCTCCAACAGCAGCAGAGACTCTACATGAGAGAAAAATTACATTTAAATAAATTAATGCAATTAAACATCCAGCAGCTATGACTTCTGATTTTACTAAATAAAATGAATTGAATTAGCACACCTGAGATTAATCCATCGACTAACGACAGTCTGCGGTGCAGCGTCCGTGCTCTCTGCCTCTTTTCCACCGACCTGAAAGCTGAGAAAGATTAATGTAGAAACTTCAGTTCAAAGCAGGTAGAGCCTGGAAATAACATCAGCAAAGCAGGCTGGCAGTTTCTATCACACACACACACACACACACCAACTCCGGTTAAAGTTAACCTATTCATTTATTCTTTACTTGGTATTTCTGATGATAATAACCGGTATAAAAGCCTACTCCCTAGAGGAGCGCTGGTCCCAGTCTGTCCACCAGCAGCTGCTGGCCAGTTCGGTCCAGCAGACGTCTGATTGGCTGGAACTGGGTGTCCAGCCGCCTCAGCTCTCTCATTACAGATTAAATCTACAGCAAGACAAAAAGAAAAACAATAAAAATTAGTTAGTTTCCTGCTTAAGTAACAGTTTTACACTTACTCTGTGTGTATATATATATTGAGGGATTTTTTTTAGCAAGAACCGCTACTTACTGTTGGACAGTGCAGAGAAGTCCTAAGAATCAACAGATGAAGACCTACTGAAATTAGCCTGGATATCGGATATTATTCAGAATGATGCTGCTTTTGCAAATGAAATAAATTAAAACATCGGCGGCACTGGAGCAGACGGTGTCCTGCGAGTTGACTCCTCAAGGCGCGCTGTCCTTTTAAACACCTTTTAAACGGATGAAGGAAATTACGAACTCGTAGTCAGCACTAACTAGTTGTACGTGTCTTACGTTAAATGCTTATTGTTCAACCTTTATCCTGAAACGATAGCTGCTTCTTTTTGTGGATCCCCTGCAGAATGAGCACTGCATCCATTTCCCTTTTACATATCAGGCGTAAGATTTAGCGCATTATTTTGATAACGGCTAAAACCAATGCTAGTCGTCTTTAGCTAGCAGCTTTTTGCCTTCCTGCAGGGAGATGGGGCGGGATCTAGTGTACATGATGGCTGTGATGATAATTGTCAAAACTACAACTAGATACGATCAGGAAAAAGTTTAATTAAAAGAGAAAAATATCAAGGGATAGGGACGTAGCTCAGTTAAGCTAGCTTGACTATGACAAGTGTAACATGTAGATGTGATGTGGAATTCGGCGTGCTTCAGTTCAGTTAAAAATTTTAAAATGGCAACCCAAACAAACTCTGACAGATCAGAAGAGCAGCTGTTTAAATTAGCTAATCAACCAGCGCTATGTTAACTTAGCTAATAGCAGCAGGAGCTAATCCACCACTGCTAGGGTTAGGGTATCGTCTTTGTGCCGTCCAGATGTTAACAAGATTGAACGGTAACATGCAAGGGTCCATAGAGGTCTGTGTGTGTGTGTGTGTGTGTGTGTGTGTGTGTGTGTGTGTGTGTGTGTGTGTGT